CATATGAACATGTTAATGTTGGTTTAACAGTTTATTGCATGTTCCTCTTTTGATCATAAATATAAGTTCTGTATGTAGTATCAGTGGATATGTTAAACTAGAACATTCAGCACAAATATCATTATCGGATTTAGAATATTCATTTTTATTAAATACACATGAGTAAGAATTATACATTAATACATTTACCATTAATGTTTCTACATTGATATTTATATGAGTTACAATCATCATGATATTTAATAACATTATCTGTTACCATTGAACAATACTATTATCCTACACTGGAAGTATCTCAAACAACTTGAACCACACGTTATCATTTAAATATGTAGTTGAATAATAATCTCTGTACATAGTTTTAGAACAATCAACATTCATAATATTTATTCTTACTTATTTCATTGCATCTATTTATAAGACATCTGTATCTGACAAGATATTCTGTACAATTCGAAACAATACATTTTTGTGTAGTTCCTGTATAATCATAAATTTGATGTTTACTAGAATTACAATAATTACCATTTTGTACTTGAGTAGATTTACAACATTTATTAGTTGATACATCACACTTACATACTGATCTTATAGAATCTCCACAACACGATGAATAACATGATAATATATTCGCATTTATATCTGTATTGAGTTACATTTTACTAAATAACATGACAATTCAATATATCTGATGTTTTCACATGTATTTTATCTCTAACACTACACTTTGTTCTGGTTCACAAACATATTTTTGATAGTTGTTAGTTTTACTGTACATATATTCTCACTATGATTATCTTTCATACAAAAACTAGTAGTTTAATTACATGTGTAACTCTAACAATATCCATAAGAATTTGTTTTTAATATGCTTCACAACCAGTTTTTTGTTTACGTGTTTCAGTTATCTTCTTATCATTATGATCACAATATAGTACAATTCATTTTACTTTTTGTTGGCATGTTATTATATTGTTCAATAACATATCTTTCAATATTTCTACATTCATATGAAACTATACATCTATCTGAACATTCTTTCTTTGCTTTTGGTTTAGCTTTATGCCGTTGAATACATAACCCTGTTTCTACATCACATAATGTGTAGAAATAATCATTTTCATAACACATTGAACATGTACATCTATTCATTGAATCACAAAACCATGAACATTATCTCTATCAAATCTTTCTGTTAAATTAATTCTAAATCATTTGAACAATGTATTGTTTGTTGCTTTAATTTGTTTATTAATTGTGAATTCATGATAATATGGTCAAAGTGAAACAAGTGTTAAAACACTACATGTAATCTTTTGATCTTTGTTTCTATTAAGAACAAGTGTATGAACAGTAATATTATTTCTATCAAATCCACTTTTTGCATCAAATTCTGGTGCAATTCTATCCATTAACAGTATCATAGTTCCTCTTTTGATTTATTCTTTGAAAATCTTCAGATAAATCATTTATATCAATGTTAACAACTAGATCAACTTATCCTGATACTGTTGTGTATTGAGTAAGAGTAAATAGTTTAATTCTTCTAATTTTATATTAACTGAAGAATAAGTATATCTTTATGATAATATTCACTGTGGTTAATTGTTGTAAAGTAGATAACCTCTTGAATAGATTTAATAACTGTAGAATCAGTAATGACATAATAATTACAAGATGAGTATTAACATTATTGGATTAATATCAAGAGTGTATTTGGATTAGTATTTGTATTATATTGACCAATAAATGCTTTGTTTTCATTGTTAAATGATTGAATGAAATTGATTTTCATCAAATGAAATACATTCTACAAACATAAGTTTCTGTTTTTGTTACATATGTCTTTTTTGTATTTAAATAAACATAATTTAATGGTATTTTAGTTGTATATTTAAAAGACGTTTTTCCATTGATATCTACACTCTCAATTTGTTATTCATCAACTGAACATTATCTCAATCATCTTCATATTTTTCAATTATATATACATATTCTTTTTGACAAGAATCTTGTTAACATTAGTATCATTGATTTGTTGAACATTCACATTATGATCTTCATTATTAAATATTTTATTATTCTAAATACAAACAACAAATTGATATTAAATAATGTTAAATAATAAAGATATAACAAATTGTTAATTTATTTGATGATATTCAAAATTAAAACATAATAAATTTATTTTTATGAAACAAACTATCATGATTAATATTGATGATGAAGTAATTATGAAAGATAAAGAGAAAGAAGATACAATAAACAATGAAATTCTAAATAAAATAAACAAACACATTTATTTTATCATTTATTTTGATTTTTGTTGAATGAAGTATTTTTCTTACTTCAACATTCAATTGTGAGAATTCTCATTCATTTTTTTCATATGATTCTTTAAATAATTAGAAAAAGAGAGAGTTGATAAAAGTGAATGTTCTTCAAATAGAGAATGATATTATCAAATAACATTATCAGAATATTATTATATCTTATTCATTATACTCCTATCATAGAGTATAAAACACATCAATCATTATTCTAAATTAAAAAATGAACAAATCAATCATTATATTTTTCAATTTATATCTGATTGAATGTCATCTTTCAAACAATAAATTGATGATTAATCCTCTTCAACATCAAATATTTAAATTACTTCCATTATTCATTCTTATCAATCATGAATTATTGTACAATGAAATGATTATAAGAAAGAATAATGAGATTTGATGATGAAGAACTTAACAAATATGATATAGTATCATTTCAAGAGTTGTTTGATACATTTCATATAAACAAATAATCTTCTTAGAAAAACTAAAATAATAAGAATTTGTGTATGAAACTCATTTAGAAACATCAAAATTGATATCTATCGAGTTGATGGTGTATGTATTTTATCATGTTTTCATATTGTAAATCAACATCAAAATATTTATACAAGATGATGTTATTCAGATGGAACATCTGCAAAATGGATTGTTCATGGTAAAATTGATGTTGGATTTAGAAAAGAAATACATTTGTTTTCTACACATTTCTAACAGATTATTATGAAAACAGAGAAGACAATACAAAATCAAGATTCATTGAAATAAACAAATCAATGAATGTCATCATTTTATTAATGAATGTACAACATATGATAATGACCAATTCGTATTTGAATGAACTTAAATATTAAATGAGAAACACAACAATATGATGATTTTATTACCACTCTCAATTCGAGTGAATTCAATATTGAAACACATGATTTTTTGATTGAAGATAAGAAAGTTCAACAATAACACACAGTGAATGTATTGATGGAGAACAAATTGACACAACCATTCATTCTAAAGTTCCAACACCAATTAATGAATGGATTATATTTGTGAGAATTAAGAAAAGAACAGAAATAAAAGAAATAAAAGCATTCAAACAAATGGATGTAAATTTCAAACAATAAACAACCATTTCATTATATGTCTGACAATGACAAATAGAAGTGACAATAGAATTAATGTAAATGATAAATAAAATAATAACATACAAAGAGATATGAAATAGAAATGATAAACACATTATTCAATGAAATATTATAATTTCATGAAAAACATATCATTTTATTTTG